GAGTGGTTTTTTTACATTTGAATTTTTTAACTTAAGGTACGTTCAGCTATCTGAACTTCAGTCGTACAGCCAAAAACTCTATTACCGTGTATTATGCAATAATGTCAAAGAACTAATGCCAATCGTATATACACCTACAGTAGGGCTTGCATGCCAGAAGTTCGGCGCCATTTATCGTCATCCAAAGTTAGTGCTATGGTGATAAACTTATTCAAATTCTCAACATTCGATTTGCATTTCTTCAAGGGGCATTTACATCACCATCCATGACAACAGCATCAGCAGAATTTATCATATACTGAGCAATTGGAAAGAGCGTGTCGTTAAAGTGAGCACCAAGACTTTTACTTTCAATCAAAGATTTGTGATTTCAGGAATATGAGGGCATTAGTGGTCTCTCTAGAGTGAGTAGACTTCTAATGTTTAGGTTGGCAGGAAAGTCGTGAGACAAATTTTCAAAATGTGACAAGCTTGCGAAATCAGTGTGAGCGCGTCATTGAAGGTAACAGATTGTTAGAATGTCCTCAAGGGAACTAATATGTGAGTATATAGGAGAACGCGCAGGAGCTTTCGGTAGACCATCGAAACAAACTTCGCAGCAACAACTTCTCACCATTATCTTCTACGAGTGGCGAAAATGGAAAAGCGCGCGTAGAGCGGCTGACGCCATCAAAAACACATTGGCTGTTTTCAAAGTCCGCCGGCCGGCCGCGAGCCCGCGAGCCCGCTGGGGTACTACTCGGCCGACGGTATCGAACAAGATTTAGTTGTGAACAAGGGGCAAGCGCCGCCTCCTGCCGCCGCGCTTGCGGGCCGGCCGGCGGACTATGAAGACAGCCACTGGGTGAAGGTCCTGTTTATCGTTCAATGGTTAACCATTCACAATTACCTCGATTGAATGCGATACCAGCCTTGAAGATAATGAACGCGGTCGTTAACATCGATCAGCTTCAGTACTTGGCCGTTGCTGTTCAAGAAAAACGTCCAATTCCGTCCAACGTCCGATCGAAAGTGTATTTACGGCACGACGACACGCGTCCTTATGTCGCATATGAAACTCGTAGAAAAATCGCTTAGCGTGGCTGGCATCCAGTCACTCGCCACACTTCCCCTGCCTAGCACCTTCTGGTTACCACCAATTCCAGCAGCTCAGACACCACTTGCGAAAGAGTTCAAACTTACAATGATCTGAAATTAGCAGTCAAGGACTTTTCTGAGACACAGCTTCTTGAGTTCTGGGCTAACAAGGAAAGGATACTTGGTCGCAGTGGCCATTCAAGATGAGATGTATATCCCCGTAGATGGTTTCGAACGCTGATCTCAAATCTGTACTCCAAATCCGCGAAGCGATTGTGGCAACAAAGTTACAGGACCGATGCCTCCCAGTGTTACACCACAATAACGAACGGATCACCGAGCCGAGCAAAGTCGTACCTGTGGAACGGTGGCCTGGCGGACAGTGTTATGGAGTGGTCGGTATGACATCAGGGCTCGATTCCTTGATGCATGCGCTCGTTTTGCTTTTTCCATGAAATGCGTCCTAAACGCTTGCAAAACGTTTTTTGGCTCAATGTTGGGTATCTACAGGGCTTCCTCACAATTTAGACCTCGGGGAATGGTGATCCAACAAAAAATTTTTTACCACTGTTGACCGAATATACACGCCTCTCTGCCCCTGACAGTCAAGAAGTTGTTTCGAAATCTTCGGCAGCTCCCTGCACTTACGGTAGACGGCGGCAGAATGACTCATCTGACCACCACCCTCTAGGGGAGGGATGCGGTCCACACATTCTAGGAATACTGTCCGTCCGCGCTTCCGAAGCAGTGATACAAAATAACTGGCATTGTTAAAGAAATACTGTAGAACAATAGTTCATCGCTTTGTGTGCACATATGATTATCCGCTCATTCATGAGGTAAACGTCCTCTCAAGGAGCCCGTTCATGAGGTAAACGTGGTGGTGCGATGGGACATGATACAAGGATGTCCTCAAAACCCTGAATCCACTCACGATTGTTTTGAGTTTTCCCCCTATAGGGCCTTCATTTTGTTTGAAGCGGTATCCGCAACTTATCCGTTAGTTTCCATAGTAGGCAGGTCGGACCGCTTGCTTTGCAAATGATAACTGCGACCACATAAGACTTCGTAAGTTGCAATATTAGCCTAATTCGAAAGCTCATGCCCTCTTAATTTCCGTGGACAGCACTCTGTCGTGATGATACAAAACGTGTTCCTCATGATCGAGGAGGTGCGGCTTCTTCAGACACTCCAACTATAGAAGGCTATGCTCTCCTACCAGCGCCATAAAATTGGAGCTCATGGGCCAGATCACAAACCTGAAGGTTACGTTACACTTTTGAACCTCTATATCTCCACAAACGTAGGAGGTTTCATTCGCGAAGTGACGGGTCTATCGTCGCTGTCCTCATCAGGCGACCGCAGAGGATCATTGTGATTGCCTTTCTCGATTCTCGATTTTCTCGCAAAGGATAACGGGCTTGCTTTCATAGCATCGATAAGCACTGTTCGAAACCTTCTCATTACCGCATCTTTCCAGATGGTGTTTACGTCATGCTACAAGAACGAAAGTACTCCATCAAATATGATGACACCACATTCGATCGGAATATTCGCTGGTAGCGTGTTGAAGACCGCTTGAATCTATTGGCACCTATCTTCTTGAAGCCTCATAAGCCCATTTTGAGCAAATACTTTGAGTTCCTCTTTTGCTCGAATGGGGCTCCACCCTTATTCGGCCGGTGAGGGGCAATTAAAAAACTTTCCATGTAACACCTTTCCAGTGTTCCTAAATCATGAGGGAGACCAGTAGATGCCCAACATAAAGCCCAAAAGGGTTTTGCAAACGTTTAGGGCGCATTTTATGGAAAAGCAAAACGAGTGCATACATCAAGGAGGCGAAGCTTGGTTTCATACCCACCACTCCACCACACTATCCGCTAGGCCACCGTTGTGCAGGTAAGGGGATTACTCGGCTCGTTGACCCGTTAGTTACTGTGGTATAACACAGGGAGGCATCGGTCCCGTAACTTTGTTTCCACAATCGTTTCGCATATTTGGGATACAGATTTGAGATCAGCGTTCGAAACCACCTACGGGGGTATACATCTCATCTGGGATGGCCACTGCGACCAAGTATCCTTCCCTTGTAAGGCATCAGCGATTTGCCCAGAAAATGGGAGAAGGTTATTGATCTTCATAATGAATATATTGTTCATTTTGATATATTAAGAAAAACTTATAGTTTAATGAATAAATGACCCTACTGTCGCAGACTTTCTTGCCAACTTATGCGATGAAAACATATCCTTTATGGATCGTGGCAAACAAAAAATTATAACATGTTATTCAGGTTATTGTGGTCACTGATGGAGAACGTATTCTGGGACTGGGAGATCTAGGAGCCCAAGGAATGGGTATACCAGTGGGGAAACTTTCACTTTACGTAGCGCTGGCGGGTGTCCGGCCTGAACATTGTCTTCCAGTTCTCATTGACGTTGGCACCAACAATAAGGTTTGTTTTCTTGACTCTTTCGTAGGTCAAAATATTTTACATGTGATGCGCCTACGTAGCATGTAGGATATAAGAAGTACCATTGTTAGTACTGCATCCTGCCCCCCAAGTAGAAANNCGCCTCCATTTGGAAGCAGGTAACACCGTTAAAGCTAGATGGTTCAGGTGCTTTTCCTTTGTTTAATCCTCCGTCACATGTACGGTGGATAACACTGGAACTGATGCCAGTATTCATACAATTTCTTCTGTTTTTCGAGTAAGCTCCAATATGCGCACGCTCAGGCGCACGGAGGCTATCTCATGACCTATTCATTGCCTTTATCTTACAAAATATAAAGCGCTAAGCCAGTCTCTTGGTTTGTCGATGTGCTTGTCTGTATATGTCGGTGTGGGCGTTTGAGTGGAAGTTCATAACTCCTGTTCCCTTCGACTTAGGGGGGTGGAATAGTTAGAATGGGATTTCTGAAGATTGGCGAATACTGAACACCAATGTCAGGAAGCGAGACGTGCGCGAAATTTGCTTCCTAAGCGGAAGTTGAACTTGGAACGAATCTAAGCGGCAGAATGGGTACACCATTGGTAGGTGGCAGGAAGTGACTGAGCTGGAAGCCGCTCGCAGCTGGATAAGAAGAGGTTGAGGAGTGCAAGGATTGAGCGTAATCTTATAGTTAGTAAAAAAACGCGGCAAGAAAAACGTGGGGAATGGGCCAACTTCAACGCGAGAAGGGGAATAGCATTGTGTGAAGCAGGTGATTTTATTGATAAGTATACCAACTCTAATTAGGATGAATTTAACTCTTAAGCAACTACTCGAAGATCCACTATACATCGGCCTTCGACGTAATCGTGTTCGCGGGGACGAATATGACCAGCTGATTGATAATTTTATGAAAGCCGTCGTGAAAAAGTTGGTTTGTTTTTGTTTATTCGTTCATTATTTAATTATAATAGTTCACATACTTTTCCGAATTCGATAGTCGCAATTACGCAATGCGAAAGCGCCAAGTGTTTCGCTGGAGGCAGAGAATAGTTGCTTCCATGACCAGTACATGAAACTAGAGGATTAAGACCGATGGCTGCGGTCTTTTGCTTCACATTAACCCATTGACGACCATCGTTGCAGTCCACGTGTGGACTGCATGGTCCCGGACGGCCAATTTCTTCAATTTTGAACTGGAAGTTGTTTAATTTTTTTTTGAGTTCGCAAGTTTAGGATATGACTAACGATGATGGTAGGTGGCACTTCAATTTTAGTCAGCTAGTGATGGATTCTGATGAGGAGAAGTTCCTCATTCACTAATTCTTTTCAGAAAAAGAAATCATTGAAGGGCCACATGTNAAAGGCTAAAATATAAGTATGTATGATGTCTATGCTTATTGTTATTATCTATTAATTGCAAAATTAGAAGATTTCTTGGGACCACACAGTATATAGTTTAACTTAGACCTGATCTTATGTATCGACAAGAAAGATCGTTAAAAAGTGGCGATAAATAAAATATACAACTGCAGTCCACATGTGGACTGCATGGTCGTCAATGGGTTAAGAGAGGTGAAAAAAATTGAAATGAGTGGAACATGTAAAATGAGTAACCGAACGTACTACAGTGGTAAGAATAAATCAATAAAAATTAAAAAATGGTCTACTTCGCTAGTTCATGACACGGACCACCATTTCAACTTTCGCCAAGCACGCTGGCGGTTTGATGTTTAGGGAAAAAAGTATGGCAATTGTATGCGTACGTACGAATGCAATTAAATAATGACACGGAAAGATTTTATGAGAAAATATGTATATCCAAATGAGCTTATGAGTTATGAAAAATGAAAACCTAGAAAAATAGAAAAAAAAGGGAACGTGCATCTTCATTACTGTGTATGATTGTGATTACGACGTACGAGTTCTTCTGTGTTTACTATCTCTGTTTTGTTTAACTATTACGTTTTGATGATGGTGTACCAAGAGTGCGTGATTAATAAATGAAAAAAAAATCTCAGAATGTAGGAATACGCTACGCTCATACGCTCAAAGTAGTCTCTAGGAATCGGCATAGAACGTTATTCAGTTACTCCAAGCACTGAACTCACCTCTAATCCTGAAAGGTCTAATCACAGATTCGGTCGCCACACCTTGATACAGTTCGAAGATTTTGCATTTGCGAACGCCTTCAAGTTGTTGGACAGATATCGGGAACAATACTGTACCTTCAATGACGATATTCAAGGTACTCAATATACACATAGAAAGCCCTAAGTATGGAAATGAAACTAAAGTGTACGCTGTGGCAGCTGGAATTATTTCTGTGGAAATAATTACCTTTGTCCTTATTGAGCCATGCACTTTGATTTAGGAACGGCAGCAGTGATAGTTGCTGGTTTACTTGCAACAACTCGAGTTACGAAGAAGAAGCTCTGCGAGCAAAAGTTCCTCTTTCACGGAGCTGGAGCGGTTCGTTTCTGAACAACACGATTTTACTTCGTCATAGCAACTGCAAGCAAAACAACAAAAAGAAACATTACTTGAAAAGCCAAAATGTCGACAACTGCAGTCTATCAATGGGGGAGAAAAAAATGGAGGAAGTAGGCGTAAATCGCCAAGCGCTTCGCTTTCACGCCCTTGTCTGACCCTACCAGCGAGACTGTACCTACTTTCCATTAGGCTGGCTCGAATTCGCTTCTAAACAGTACAGGCTTATGACTGTGTCAGACAAACAATACAAGTCTTTAGCAGCGTGTGTAATTCTTCTCAATTCGAACAGTGTGTAGAAGAAACGAACGGCTATCAAGGCATATAACGGCGCGTGGCAAGGCCTAGTTAGTGGACCAAACAAGGCAGTGCGTGGGGCGAGGCAACTAGTAAGGAAAAGCGGAGCGGTTTAAACAGGTTGGGATTACACAAGTACCCCTGAGTGATCGATTGACATTATCGATAGAGATGGCAAAGTGATGAATTTTGGGATACGCACGTCTAGATATAAAACGTTGATATTAAAACGTTGATATATAACTTCTAGATCACAGAACAACGATTTCGAATTTCTCATCAATAGCAGTGGGTGTTTAGGCAGGTTTGGGCATCGCTGAGCTGATGGTAATGCAGATGATCGCAGAAGGTGCAACAAAGGAGCAAGCATGCGACAACATTTTTATGATTGATATCGATGGTTTGGTTACAAAGAAAAGAGCACAAAACATGACTGAACGTCATCGTCTTTACGCTAAAGTAAGTTTCCAGATATGGGCCAGGATGAGCTATTGAGGTCGCTTATCAAATGGAACGGATCAAGAGTAGTAAATATAGGGCAGTCATTCGGTGCGGTACTGATGTAGCCGCTTTAAGTTCTGACGCGTTTCAGTACCACTTGCGACAATAGCGGATCATGCTACTTGGCATCCTTTTGCCGGCTACAACTCTCTTCCAAAGTCTGTTTTTTTTACAGGAGTTACCGGAGTCGAAAAGCCTCTTCGAGATTGTGAAAACAATTAAACCGAATGGAATAATTGGTTGGTATAACCTAGTAATTAAAGTATTCAATTAATAATAATTAACATAATAACCCTATTAATTAAAATCAGAAAAATATATCTCAGAAGACTTTTTCAATAACGTCTTTTAGGTGTGTCAACTCAAGGAGGAGCATTTACCGCAGAGATCATAAAAGAAATGGCTACCATCAATGAACGTCCAATCATTTTCCCTCTATCCAATCCCACCCAAAAAGCTGAATGTACAGCTGAAGAAGCAATTAAAGGGACTGATGTAAGTTTACGTCCAACAAAGCATGAAGAATAGCGAAATTCTTGTGTAATGGATGACTTAATAGTGATCCGAAGCGCAAGCGTTTCTGCATTTAAGGCTGGTATATTGTTTTTTTTTGGTAGAGTCAGAGATCGAATATACCACAGAGATGACCATCTGGTAGTTTCTTCAGTAATCATGAATGATGGAACAACCTGCATAGATAGACGTGCCCACAATTGGAAGCTACATATTTGAGATATATCCCAGAGCAAGAGTGCATTATCAATGGCAAGAGAAACCTATCTATTGCAAAGTTGGTTTCTGAAGGGGAGGGTTCATCAAAAAATGCATTTTTCCCTGCTTGAAACCATGGCCATCTCACCCTACTGTTGTCAGCGGAATGACAAACGACTGCAAATCTGACGTGATCTCTCACCGTACACACTTCCAACTTATCTTTTAGGGTAGAGTTCTGTTCGCCTCCGGTTCGCCATTCGACGACGTTGAATATAAGGGAAAGCTCTTCAAACCCGGTCAAGGAAACAACTCGTACATTTTCCCTGGAGTTGGTTTAGCTGCCGTGGTTTGGAAAGCAAAGAAAATTCCGCAAATGTCATTCCTTATTGCTGCCAGGGTATGTTTACCGCTGGCTAAAACATGGTCTGCCACAATTGTGCTGTATTTAGTCGTGTGCAAGTATGGTGACGGAAAAGGCGCTGAACGAATATGTCAGGCTTTACCCAAGACTGCAGGATATTAGAGAGCTGTCTGTTAGGATCGCCATTGATGTGGGTTTCTCATTTACAGCTTTCCGTCTGCAAGCGTTTCGTTTCGTTGAAATATGTGACCGTCATCGCACCAGCTAGGCGTGTCAGGACCATACATCTTTGAACTGTAAAAGTACAGCTTGCCAGTGCAAATTCCTTTAGGTTGGTGAGTACTTCTTCAACGAGAATCTCTCAGCAGTCCATCCGAAGCCGGAGGATCTGGTAAGCAGGAATCCCGTTTGTTAGGGGATATGCGTGAAATCTGGAAATTTTTATAGGAGATGTATATACGCCATCAACTGTACGACACCTCATACGACGATCTTCTAAGTAAAGAATGGGAATGGCCCGCTGACGACTGTAAGGCGGGTGCTGTTCCCGTACCCGAAATGGAGCAATCTTCAATGGATGACGAATAGACGAATAGTCAAGAGATACTTCATCTAAAATTTTCTAGTCCTAATCATTGACCGTATTTTCAGTTACGATGTTACGTTTAGCTTCCTTCATGTCACCCACATTTTGTCCGACATTATTTCTCCTGTAAGGATGACTGTAAATAAATTGTTTATGATGTTTACTAGCTTTGTTTGCTACCAATGAAATACAATATATCTGAAAAATGAAAAATGCCATGACATTCTTATGCTAAGTTCTACCATGAATAGCAAAAATACAGTGGCCGTTTACAATTTGCCATGGTTAGACTCAGTGTCCGTAATGCTCGTGAACCCCTTAACAATCCCCACCTACCCTGTGTGATTTCACCACTAATCCGAATCTGAATCGAAAAGACATCAGGAACCTATCAGATATCAGAGTAGCGATCACATCCGTTGGCAAAGTAGAAGTAGAAATAGTAATCCAAAAATAGGGTGAAAATGTACCTACCTCTAAACGTCTCTCCGTCCATTGAAAGATATTGGTAGATATTGAGCGTGGTCTCATATGACAACAAAAGACCGGAACTTCATTCACGAAGGTTAATTACCATAGCTGAAAATCATCAGATTAAATTGCTTGTTTTCTTGTTCACTCTGTAATCCGCTTATTATGCGAAGAGTGAAAACGATGTTCGAAACAGGAAGCTGATTTCGAGGATTCTCTAACGGCCCACCCGTGCCCTGTAGCTTGAGGACTGAACAGCTCCTTCACTTACTGCTAAGGGATGGTTCATGAAGTGTATGGTTTGTGGTAGAAAATAACTTTCAAGGTGATCGACTCTTGCGATACGCATAAAATCGTCATTCGCTCTCATTCATTGATACTATCAAGTGTATGTCAGGTTTACTTACATCAACAACTCACTTGGCCAGGATTATTCAGTTCAGTAGCTTCGCGCTTCTGATATAGTGCATAATGGAGCACAGCGAGGTATGACGGTACACACGACGTTGGAGGAGTTCGAACTCAAGAGCAGCGTCAAAGGTGATTAGCGGATCTGACGAACAGTGATCTTTTAATGTAACAGTTGCAAAGTAATCCTCCGGAGAGATGCAATTAGCTGAATCTTTCGTATCCACCATATTCATATTACTGCTAACTACCAAGAATTATATTGAAAACCAGGTCTATACTCAGAGGAGAAACCAATAAAATAAAAAAGAGACTTCGCAAACAGAGTAATTTGAGTGAAAAAATATGCCTCTATGCCGCTCGCGGTCAGAATAGATGGTTGCTTTTAGGCTTCGACGTCCGTCCGTCCGTCCGCACGGTGCGTTGCGTGCGTGGACGGCGGCCCTAACCAATCGTTCACAACACCAGATCACTGGATCACGTGCCAACGAGTGGCCAGAGCCGCCGTCGCACGCACGTAACGCGCCGGACGGACGGATCATTGAAGTCTGAAAGCACCCGTGTAATTTTGGTGGATCTAGTTCTAGACGAGTTGTGGAAACGATAGCCCAGAACAGTGGCCAAGAAAACATGAAAATTGGTGTATCCTGAGAAACACAGACTTCAAAAGAGAATTAGAACTAGGGGTCGAAAGAGAATGTTACGAAGACGAGCTGGTCAAATGTGCGCGCCAATGTATACAGCTGGCTGCAGTAAGCTGCTTGCGTGCAGGATGTTGGTCCCGGTGCGAATGACCTACGGAATACTTGAACATTTAATTGTGTCGACCACGCTTATTTTACTGCCCTTGTCTGTCGCACTCCACTGAATCCAATCTCTAAATGCTGTGCTTATTTGACTACTGAGATCCCACCACCTACCCATGTACTTCACCCCGGGTATTTTTCTTAATCCTTTCGCTGACACGGACGCAGAAAAAGTTTAAGTAGTCGCGTAATGGGTGCGAATGGTCCAATCGTTACAGCTTTTACAACGTTTCATGACTTGTCCGCTTTAGATCTGCACGTCGCCTGAGTCGTTTTGGTGGCCGTCATTGGGTCCTATATTGACTACTTTCCGAAGTGACAGCGTCCCTTAGGCTATCTTGGAGGTCACAGGTTCATTCTAGGGAGATATCCAGAAATCATTTTAAGGCGTGCTGTGCTTTTAGGGCAAACAAGTAGGAAAGATATTAGAAATAAACGTGTCCTACCATCGCTGCCTGGTGGTCATCTTCAAAAGTAGTAAGACTTGTCTTTTTAGTTGATCTGCGACTAGTTCCCTCAGAAACCGATTAGTGTAGATCAAATTGAGATCGGCACGAGTTGCGCGCGCAAATCTCATTTTAGCCATACGAATGCGAAGCAAAGTCAGCAGTATTTTTTTCCGATTTTGCCATTTACCTATATAAAATTGGGGAGTGTCTTAATCGTCTTCAAAGAACTTTCGATTGATTTTCATGTCTTTTGCTACGACATGATAACATTCCAGGTAAACACTCGATCGAAATGCTCACTTTACTGAGACACAGTCGGTAAGCTTTTCCACGTTCTTTGTGGTTTACTCTTTTGGTTCCCATCATCTATCCGGTGCAGCGGAAGGGCGACAGCTACTTTTGACATAATACTCTGGCTTCTGAAAAGTTCTTCTTGATCAGTCATCATGAACAAGATCACTATGTGCCCTTTTGAATTATGATTCTAAGAAAAACTGGCTTATTTCTAGGGTTTGTAAAGTTTGGATGAGGCTCTTGGTTGCATCGCTCTTTATTTATGCCTATTCAGTACTTGGTCTCTTACTCGTACTATCCACTCGTCGGTAGCCGTCTTTGCCAAGCAGTACGAACCAGATCTGGATGATCCGCAGAAACTTGCCCTTCATAAGTTATATAGACCGGAACGAGTTACCCCAAGCGAAAGGGGATATCAACTTCTCAACACTTCTCGACTCAACAAGGTATATTCTTCAATATTCATTCTAGTAGTGGGTCGTACCTTAAATACTAGAGTTACATTAGAGATACGGTAATCACTAACGTCTCCGCGACCGCTTGCTTCAAAGTCTATCCGCTCGCGAGTTTCGTTCCATGGGATTATCTATCACTTCAAAGTCGACCTTCTTCGAAGCATAAGCATTTCGCGTCGTAAAAATGAATGGTTGAAGGCTAAAATAATTTGCTTCATCCTTTACAAGCTTCATAAAAACGCATGTAATGTGTGTAGGCGTTACACTCTGGTGTAACACTTTTTATATTTACGGGTAGGTAGGTCGTTTAGCAATGTTTTAGGGTATGGCATTCTCGTTAAGTGAACGCCAGTACCTTGGAATTCATGGACTTCTGCCGCCAGCGTTCATGACACAAGATCAACAGGCATATCGTGTGATGAAAAGAATTCGGGAAGAGCCGGACAACTTGGGAAAGTTCGTTGATCTGCAACTACTTTAGCTACTGTATAGTGCAGGGACTATCTCCTTATAGTTAGTAGGTATAAAAATGGAAAAAGAATGCTGTTTGGAAAGCTTAGGCAATGTTATGCAGTTTTCGATGGAAATGGCTGCTTTTTAAGGTACATCATATTGGATGAACTGCAATGTCGAACTGAGAAGCTGTTTTATCGCGTTTTGTGTGAGAACGTTAAGGAATTGATGCCCATCGTCTATACTCCCACAGTCGGTTTGGCTTGCCAAAAGTTTGGATATATTTATCGGCACCCGAAGTTAGTGCATTTTCTCAATCAAAATCAATGTTCCCCATTTTTTTTACTCGTGTTTCAGAGGGCTATACATAACTATCAATGACAACAGTATAAGTAAAATTTATCAGATTTTATCTAACTGGCCAGTATCGGATGTGCAGGTGGGTGTAAATATGAAGCCTCACAGGATGTGTTGAACAGTTTTCTCTCGTTTATAGGTTTCCGTGTTTTACGATTTGAACGAATTTAGCTGGACTGAATTCTTTTTTTTTTCCTCTTTTATTTTGCTCTCAGGCTATCGTGGTAACTGATGGTGAACGAATTCTTGGACTTGGTGATCTTGGCGCTTGTGGCATGGGAATTCCTGTTGGTAAACTAGGCCTGTACGTCGCTTTGGGTGGAATCCAGCCCAAGTGGTGTCTACCGGTGGTCTTAGACGTCGGCACAAATAATCAGGTATGATCCCATCTCATACTGCTATTTCACAGGCTTCGCGTTCTCGCCCGTTTTATTATTTGAATCTTATGGGTGTAATTTGAATAGCCCATCCAACAATATCTCTTTGACTGTATACACGTTGAATCACTTTACTTTACCTTGAATACATTAAACAAACCATAACCTTGTATAGGTATTGGTTTGCAATAATACAGCACAGCGAGATGATCGCTAAAGGTTGCTCATCTGTATTCACGAGAATTCGCAAAAGAGTAATCTCCAGTTGTAAACTCTTGAGTGTACGAACGGCAGCTTTTTTTCAAATAGACAGCTTTATCTAAGTACTAAGAGATTCGCTCTTTTTTGCGTGCAGGCTCTCGTCTCCCGACAGTTGCACAAACCAGACCGCAAGCGAAGTAGGGATTGCTTGAATGCAGTAAAGGAAGTCTCTTCCGAGGTTCTCTAGTGATTCTGCCTTCCTTACTGCTAATCATTATACTGGTTCCTCCACCGTTGCCCGCACCTTGTGAATGACACTGAATGCAAAGACTTTCGAAAAACAGAATCTATTAGTGGTCATCTTGGATTTTCTTTCCTGCAGAAGTTGTTGGATGATCCTTTGTACATTGGTCTTCGGCGCAGAAGGGTGCGTGGACCAGAGTACGATCGTTTACTCGATAATTTCATGAAGGCAGTAACCAAGAGGTAAGCGACAGCGTGTATCTCAAGTGCTTCAGAATCCGAATACACCTACTTCTTTTAAGATTTGGCCGTGATACGTTGATCCAGTTTGAAGATTTCGCTTTCCAAAATGCTTACACCTTACTAGATAGATACAAAAACGAATATTGTACATTCAACGATGATATTCAGGGTGAGCTAATTCTTATTTCCAAAGTTTCTGAAATAAATTACTAATGTTTTGTAGGGACCGCGGCTGTGGTTGTAGCTGGTTTATTAGCGACAACTCGTGTGACCAAAATGAAATTATCGCAACAGAAGATAGTATTTCTCGGAGCTGGTGCGGTAAGGGACTTCTAACTCTCCTAATGCTTGGGCTTTTGTAAGAATTTCTGCGGAAAGTTGTCGGGATATCGCTAGAGTGAATTTTAAGGCTGGATTGGGAATAGCAGAATTGTGTGTGGATCAGATGGTCGACGAAGGATTGTCCAGAGAGGCAGCGCGTGGCAATATTTTCTTGTTGAACAGCAAAGGGCTCATTACCAAGGAACGATGTCGCAAAGAAGAGAGGCTTACTGCCCGTCATGAACAATTTGCAAAGGTTAGATATTTATTCAGAAGTTTGGTAGGTGGACCGTGTTCCTGATCAATTAGCGCTTACCTGCGGTGAAAAAAAAGTTGCTGACGTCGTTCTTCGAATCACAGTAATGAGCTTCATAATTTTAGGGCTTTCTAGATAGCCATGATACCCAGGTTTTTTTTTTCTCTCCGGAAGAATTGGTATCTCACATCGTACCCTCTGTGTATACTTTTACATTTCTTTTGTTTGAAAAGGCAGAGTTGGGGCACAGGTTTATCTGTAAATTTGTGACAAGTGCGCTTCATTAATTGAGTGTGCTTCATTATGCTCATTTGCGACGTTTGCTGGCAACTGAAAGGAACGAAGGCCGATTTTGTTGTCAAGTGATTCTTTTTGTGAACTGCAAACAGCAAACGAAGTTGAAGCAGAATATATAACAGCAGTCACAGACGAAGTTCAACTAGATTGTTCAACTATGCGGTTTCCTCACGTCATCGCGCAGAGAAAGCAGAAATAATGAAGCTCTCAGAGAAATTTGTACACCTTGTCTGTTCACGTTGAGAGTCTACTGAATGAGGATGAAAAACTTCCTCTTGAGACCTTTTTCTAGGATCTTCCGGAAACGGCAAGTCTCTTGGAAGTGATCAAAATGGTGAAGCCTCATGCTCTGATGGGTAAGTATTACTAAAATCAATTTGAAGTGACCCATTTTTGTGCCTGAAGAAGGCTAAAGGTTTGTCCGGAACATAACAGTTTTCAAATTAGCGTGTTTGAAGGTATCTCAACGCTAGGCGGCGCTTTTACGCCTGAAATTATCAAAGAAATGGCCAAAATCAACCCTCGTCCGATCATTTTTGCCCTTTCAAATCCCACAATCAAAGCGGAGTGTACTGCTGAGGACGCCTACCAGTACACGAATGTGAGCTTGTCATAAGTTATTTTGAGAATGTTGAAATGGACAACGAAATTTTTGCTCTGTAAAGTAGTAATTGATTAATACTTCTTTGTTTATGGGAGCATTTTCATATTTTTCAAACTACTGTAGGGCTCTGTACTGTTCGCGTCTGGTTCTCCATTCGACAATGTGGAACTGAATGGAAAGCTTTATAAACCTGGTCAAGGCAACAACTCATACATCTTCCCCGGTGTGGCGTTGGCTGCGGTACTGTTTAAAGCAAAACGCATCCCTGATAAAGCGTTCCTCATCGCGGCTAGGGTAAGTTCATTTTCGATGACTTCAATATGAATCTACTATATTTTCTTCTGTATCTTCTGTAGCTCTGTAGCGATCGTTCAAAGAACGTGGTGAGGTCCCTCGTGAATGCTATCTATCTGCCACGATATTTTATCTATTAAAGGAGTGATCTCAACCATAAATCAACGAGCCACATGCCACTGAGTAACAATTTCATGTTTTACTGCCGAGTGATTTTTATCGCAATTTTTAGCGAGTTGCCGCATCTGTTAGTGAAAAGTCGCTAAATGAATATGCTCGACTCTACCCACGGCTTAGGGACATACGTGAGCTGTCTGTCAATATTGCACTTGATGTGAGTTAGAAGTTTATTGTTTTGTAGTGTGGTCAACAGCTGAGAATTTACAGTCTACCATTTGCCCTCGTTGGCCACATTGCTTGTTCAAAATGAGACTAAGTTGATGTCGCGGGACAGCATGCCATATGATTTTCGGCTTATATTTTTCTTTGGATAGTATTTCAAATACACTTAAATGACGATTCTTTGTAGATTGGCAATCATCTATATGAAAATGATCTCGCCACACTTCATCCTGAACCTGAGGATAAAGTTGGTTTTCAATCAGATTAAAGTGAAAACTGACTCATTTTGAAACTAACGTCATTACAGGAGATGTTCATCCGTCAGCAAATTTATAGCTATGAATATGAACCATCAATCAATGATTTGTATGACTGGCCACAGAAAGACAGTCGTCATGGTTTCCCGGTGCCAGTACTTCCTCGAACGTCAATGGATGACGAGTGAATCTAATAATTCAGAGGTTAATTACAGAGTATGCATAGAGGTTGTAGTTATATTAGGTGACTTTATTTGATTTGTTAGAAAAGAGTTATTTTTTAATTTTATAACTTTTGTTGAAAGTTGCATGTACGTGTTTGTTTACAGTGACAAAACAATAATGTGTTTACAATAATGTGTGTAATAAATATAATTATACAAGGTCTGGTTTGTTCTTTTCTCCGTCCCTTGATGAGGAACTTGCAAGAGAATAGCTGTAGAGGTTCTCTGTATGTCCACATTTGTAACCCTACGATGCGAATGAATATGTAAGGAAGGTACTTCTTCTGGTGTGGAGTATAAAAGTTAATTGCAGGCTACAGGTTGAAGAGCTCGGTGAGATAAGGAGGGTGCCGTAGATGACAGCTTGAAAGGTATGGTTGAGTAAGCTAGATGAACATTTACGAATGGATATGAGACGGTTCTCGCTTCTGGGGTAGGTGTATGGAATTTTAGCAACATTGGCTAGAAAAGTGACCAGAGAGGTAAAATTTCTTGGACCTCGGTGGGTGCTGTCTTTCCAACACCTCTCAACTGAGAACCCGATGTTCCATGTCGAGAGGCATTGTCGGCTCACATGATTTCCGATTTCAGGACCCCTGCACAATTCGTCATCGGCCTGAGTTGAACTCACGATCATTTGCGCTGCAGTTGGGCGCTTAACCGCTGCGCCATTTACCTCTCCTGCGTCTTGGCTCTTCAAATGGTCTGTCAACGTCGTTAGTCTAAACAATGCTGAATGACAAATCTGAACGATGGAAAGAAGAACTCCATTTTCGATGGAGAGGAATATCGGGATACCTATCTGTTCACATAGAATATTGATCGTGGTACTGTAGAGCTGGGGATTTCGCATTTTTTCCCGAAGAAGGATTTTCTGCACACCTTTCTGCCATGATTCTATTTTTATGCCTTAATTTCGTTCTCCTTCAGGGTCTAATACAACGATTTGTAGAGGAAGGGATTGTGTCGAAGGGCATCAACGGTGTGAGCATTTTACGCATCTGAACTAAATCTGACCTTTCTCAATAAAATGGGCGCATCGTGCTGCAAGATTCAGTGGCTGGTTTGTGCACGACTTTTGCAACCTATCGATCGCATCAGAAACTTGCTACAATTGTAAATGGATGTCAAATGAGCAGAAATGAACCGATCAACCCACAAGAAGTACCTTTTCCACTGGGTTACACTATTTCATACCCACCTTCATGAAGTATCTTTGTATGTAAGCCCACAGTCTAAAAACGAGCCAGTGTGAAGGAGGGCAACACTCTACTGCCTGGTGTGATGGATAAGCAGAGTGGAGCACGGGAGCACCCCCGAGCCCGCTCCGTGATAATGTGTGCTTCAGCCATCAGTTGGCATTCCCGCCATAGTGCTAGCACATGATTTTTTACAGAACAGATCGGGTTTTTTACGCTACAGAAAAAAAAAAGATTTCAAAAAAAGACGATTCGGGGTAATTAATAATTTTCTCCATTTTACGGAATTACGCTTGATTTTGCAGTAAAGAGTCAGAGAGATATGTAGGTGCAATCATCACTTCAGTGGATGCATTGAGGTGCTTTATCGGTAATCTCATGAGTGACCAGGGCGGGATCTAGTCTTTCAGTTATTTGTAGATATCAAAGTCCCTCTGTAACCCTGGGCCATTGAAAGATTCTCACCTAAGATTTTACAGGACTATGCCAACTTTCCTGAAGGTGGAAAACCAATTCGATCAGTCGAGAAAATCGGTACCGTCGTTACGTGTTCCTTTACCTATTGTTTCTTTTATAGAAAGAAGTGTTCGATGCATAGCTCGAAGACGTATATGGTCTTTTCGTGTTCGCTTAACTGCTACCAGCCTCGTTTGCTCTCATAAAAACTTGGGTATGAGTAATGACTGCCGCATTTACTCAGGGCGCCGACGTAATTCGCATTTAGATGGTTTAACGATTTTCCGACCTGAGCCAATAGTGCTGTTCGCCTCCAAATTCCAGCAGCTTACCTAGCACCTTTTGATAAATGGCTTTGGTACTATGATCTATGTGAGATCTCCGACAGCCTCTAGTGAAAACAAGTTGCAGGTGTGTTTATCATTGTCAAAGTACATTCGGCAGCCCACCAAACGCATTTCCCTTTCGCCAATAAATAACAGTCGTTTGGTTCTGCAACTGATGTTTCGCTTCCTAATCCCATGAAATTACTGTTCTCTACCTTTTGCATTGTTAAGTTCCTTGGCGCTCTCATATGGTCTTCTGTTGGCTGTGCATTTTAACCACCGTTGAAAGCCTGACAGTTAGAAACTCGGTCTTTTTACCATCCATCCAATGTCTCGTATTCCACTGCGGATTCTGACAAATTTTTGCTCAATGAAGCAACAGTGATTGCCGAAGTTTGCAGAAAACTTACTGGAAGATATCCAAAGTCGTATGAGGTCGTATGAGGAAATTTCGAGAGAAATGACCTTTAAGCAGTTCGATTGCTCCTTCCTCAGCTCCGCAGCAACGACAATGTCGGCTCTGAAAGGATCTATCACTGAGCCAGGAAAGACTCATAATCAAAGGCACTAGGATATGATTAGGTCGGGATTACAGCGATGAGTGTAATATCTAGAGAAAACTATGGTATCACTGGCTGGTACAACCGCTACCAATCCACAAGCACTCAATCATCCTTTTTTGCGCTTTTCCAAGCTGAGGAAACGTAAATCGGAGCCAATTAAGGTCTTCGATTATCGCTTCCTCAGCTAAATCGATAAACTTAATTGGCTTTGGAATTCTCTGCGGTTTTTTGGTTATCGCTGAGAAACCACTCGATGTACAACATTCGTTCGTACGACTTTATCCAGCCGAACTTACCCTAAATCTTAGCATTTCCTTTTTCTAGCCAAAATAGTAGATTCGCTCGTAGTCAATAGACTATCGATGGTTTTCAGTAGTGTATACTACCTGCTCTTTGTAGTTTGATATATTGAAAGCACGGCCCTATGGCAACGGCTGCTCATCAAACCCCGACTGAACAGCACCCGTCGATCGCGTGTATACAAAAATCTCTTAGGTATTCAAACTTGTGCCTGGGCAGTAGTCTCCAACTTCTCGGTCAGACAATAGCATCAATTATTCCGTCCGACGACATAAAAAGAAGGGGTATATGGGCCGACTTCGTCTTGCCCGATGACCCCGGTTGGTTCCACCCATGAAACGGTATTTGAAAGAAAAAGTACGCAAAACTGGACATCGTCTGACCTCTGGAAATTGTTGCACAGATCGGATACGTACTTAAATGCTTCCGTATATCGGAAGAAATAAGTCTTTTGTGCTGGGCTAGCAGCTGTGTTTTATTACCCTATGATTTCGGGCTCATAATGAATCTGATTCCTGATTCATTTCCTCGAAAAATCCGATCCTTCAATCTTTCCTTTTTATGATCGTTGCCCAAGAACTCAGTCCGATTGTTAAACCTGTCGCAAAGGAAAAAAGAACTGCACTTGTCGATAGCTCACAACGTGTGCCAGTCGATTCTAAGAAGTTGTTTTAGAACTCAGGATTACGCCGTAAAGCAGCCCTAGACTTTGGTTATTCCAGAGAGTACTACCTCAGCAACGGTTCCCCTCAGTTCTTCTTCTTACTGTCTTCTCTTCTCAATGGCACCATCGAATTATTGCTTCCAATGAATTTTTCCCGCTAGAGAAGTACTTTCCAGAGTAGAGGGAAGCATCTCTTGGGAGCATAAAGAAATACAATTCCTGGCTATTCGTACTCAGTTCCACTAAATCTAAGGAGGTTTCCTTTTTCGAGTATGGAAAGAATAACTGGGAAGGGATAGGAGATGATGAATGGTTGATGAATGAGTTGTTCTTTTGTTTCAGCTCTACTGTAAGACCACTATTTCACTCAATCTACCCAAAGTATCCCCGGTAATCTACCCCTTTGCTTGGTATTCAAATCACATTGAAGCTAGAGCTTTATCCATCAATCAAGAAGAAGAACTGAATTCTGGTCCAGTGGCAGGGACGGCTGCTACAACAGCTGCAACACAGGCGCTGTAGTCAGTAACACGTAGTTTACCATAAAATTGAACTTTTGCTTCACTTTTTGCCATCTCCAACAATCATTTCGAGGGGTCATCACCGTTTGCCACCTTCCTCACTCTCTTCAGTGATAGGTTCCTTGCTTGTTCTCATTCTCTCCTCTCGATGAGGCTCGTCTAGCGCTAATGCTTCCTCTCCATCCAACTTTCGTTGAGTTTTGAATTCCGACAATTTGATATCCATTTATTATCGTCATTCATTGATTTGATTATGCTTTAAACATGTACCACTTGTCTTTTCTCCCTTTTCCTTCAACTAGCATTTGTTTTCTCCCCCATTCCGATCTATACCGCTCTATAACCCTCTGGTGGTAAGAGCACTCTACACATTGAGTTGAGACTCTCCAAAATTCAAGCTAAAGACTTGGGAAGTTTTTCGGAAGGATATTAGTATAGCAGGGGAAAGTAATTTCATTTCTCCGGAAAATCGGCAAATCGGGAACGATTATGAGGTTGGATTGATTCTGACGAGTCTGTGGGTATGCCGTGATTTCCTTGTAGAAATGTAATGTATTCTACTGAAATGTCGTCCTTACATCTTATCATCAACTCTTGAAAAAGTTCGTTGCAAAGCATTGTGCAGTAACCGAGATCCTTTGAATGAGCCTCTTCACTTTTTGTGAAATCCGAAAAGAAAATAAGGGATTACTCGATTTCTCGAAAGCACGTTAGACTAACAATTTGACAAGAGAAAACGAATAGAGATGGTACTTTGATGTTTGTTCAGATTTTTCCAGAAATGTAGAAAAACGTCCCATTTATTGACCACAACCATTCATTTGAGAATGTTAAGAGTTCTATTTCGTGACTCAACTTTAAACTAAAGTGGGGTTCAATGACGACAGAATGATGAATGGATGGCATTCTCTTGAAGAAATGTTTAAATAGTTTTC